AAAATACCAAATAATAATAACAAGTAAATATACTACATGTTAAGTCACACGTGTCATCACTCACATGATTGGCTTGCAGGGCACCTATGACTAGCAGGCCTAACTTATGATCCTTTGGTTCCCTCCTATTTATAGAGACCCCATATCAACTTAACACTAATGAATCCTACCCTATTGGGTATTAGATCTCTATTTAACTATAAAAGCCTCTTAGATCAGTGGATCTCTATCCAATAATCTCTCATTGGCTCTTATTGAATCTTATCTTCAAGATCCAATAATTTAGGGGTTTATTGGATATCCAATAAGATAGGGGCTTCAACGGATATCTCATATCCGAACCTCTACTCGTCGCAATACCTACCATATGTGTGTGACCCTCCAGATCCAATATCGAGCTGATAGTGAGTCATATATGTTAAAACTCCTTTTAGTTTAATAAATTATTATCACAATAATAATTCACTTGACTTATCAATTGTTGACATACTAAATAACTAAGCTGTATTCCCTAGACGATACAAAGGAATTCCATCTTTTGGATATATCTATCCTCAGTTATCATATACCTATAGTCCCTCATCCATCTAATATCCCAAAGATTATATACTGGGAATAGTCTTACTATGCCCATATGGTTTCTATTCAAGTCTCGCTAATCAAATTCTCTCGGAGAACTCTTTCTCTATTAATCTGAATGACCCCGACCAGATATTTGCCTAAGCAAGAACATATGAGATATTCCTCTCATGATATCGAGAGTAGATGATCATCTATCGACACTCAATAGCTCTCGTAAAGTTAGCTGCCACTCCCGATGATTGACTATGCTAGATCTGGAATATCAGGTCTATAAGTCTAGTATTAAAAAGTGGAGTACTCATACAGGGCATCCTTGGTGTCTCAAGTTTAAGGACTAGATACACCATTGAGATGATAGAATTACTTTCTGATAATAAGGTATTATCAACTATCTAACATTCCGTTAGTAGATTAATTAGTGAACTCATTCTCTAATAAGCACTTATGCAGTATATCTAGTGTCCCTATATGAGTAGCTATGAGATCAATCACATCCATCATATGAACGGGTATACATCTCACTAGTTCATTTGGTTATCTCGATGTCTCTCTCAAGTGACCTATGACAAGGATTATTTACGGTCTATGTTTAAAGGTAAATTGGTTTCATTATCATGATCTCATCACGATCTGATTCCTATTGCATAGATCCACCAATATCATAATATATGCGGTATGCAAGATAATGTGATAAAATATCAAATAATATAATAAATAAAAAGAATGCATATCATGTTACACATGTCATCACTCACGTGATTGACTTGTGGGGCATCTATGACTAGCAATCCCCTACTTGACAAACCTTATATCCCTATTATTCTCTTATGATTGTTTCTTGAGTTTTGGATAAGAGACTTTGAGATTTATATATATTTTTTATAGTAGATTTACTTCGATGGCTTACTTATTTTTCTCCGAGTTGAAAGAGTTTTCTATGTAAATTTTGGTATTCTATGTGATTGTAATTTTCATTTAATTTTTTTACTATATATTTTAGCCTACTCATATTTGTTCATATACAAGTTTTTTTTCCGTCAGATTTGAACAGTATTCTTCTATGGTGAAAACAAATCCATAATTGTGTTGAAGAATCATATCGATTTCGAATGCTCTTACAAATAAGAAGGTTATGATGGTCTATGACATTAGATTAGTAATAATGGTGAATTATGATTTTCTTATGACATTCTTATTGGGCTCTCCTAACATTAAACCGGATTATGTATATTGAGTTTGATTTATAATTTAAAATTACAAACTTTCAATTGTGAAATATGTTCAATTTTATATAGGATAATCTTGATCAGTTCTACCTAATAAACTCAAATGAATGAACATATATTTGATATTAAAGTTAAGAGATGAAATAACATGCAATCATTCTCCCCTAAAAATTATTAGTGGAGTTTTGCAGATTATCAATTTGGTGATTCAACAGTACAAGTATTGTTTTTGATCAGGAAGAAGGTAACTGACAATAATTAATATTCTTACCTAATTAACAAGGTATTTTTACCTTAATTATTTTCCTCTTAAATTTTATAATTTATTTTTGGAAAAAGAACCATTTTGGTGGATTGAAATTATTTGGTTTGACAGAAATAATGTGTCAATGAACATGACATAAAATTCATTTAGCAACATGAACTGTGCTTGAGATCGTGTCATGCAAGAGCTTCCAATCGAATGTAGTCGTACATGACTCCTTGAAAAGGAATTTCAAACTGCGTCTGAGTTAAGAAGATGATGTTGTCACCCTCAGAAATCCAACTGCTATCCACATTGATGCTGAACAACCAGTACAACCCATAGATTCCGTGTCGGACGATCGATTTGTCTCTCGCAATTAGCCCTGTCATGAAGTGAGCAGGCTGCTGTACTATTGGGTTGTTGACATAATCCTTGTATCCTAGTTATTCTCTTGAGATCGTTGTTTGGGTTTTGAACAAATGATTGAGATCATTGTTACATATTACGACTTGTTAGTATTTGTTCATATACAAAATTTATTTCTTTTTATATCCCATCGGATATAAGGTAACAGTTGTAAGCATGATATATCTCTATTAGCTTCTACTCATGAAGATGATACCATGCAAGGCGGTGCCAACGAGAGACATTTGTGATTTTTAAAGTGATAGATTATATACACTATCTAACTGGATAATTTATATTATCGAATTTAGAGAAAAATTTTTTGGTAAAATTTCGTACAAGATAGCTTCGATTAGAGGTGTTATCCTAATAAGAGTATAGTTAATTTTACAAACATGTACTGTTGCTTCTTGGATTGGACAACAGAATGTATTATTATCTAATTTTTTATTTATAGTTATTTAGTTTTAGTTCTTGGTATTAAATTTATTTTGCATAACAATAATAATAATATTATTATTATTATTATTATAATTATTATTATTTGCTTATAATTGATATCGAACAATTGAAATCAAAATAACTTAGATTATAAAAAAAAATTTAGATCTTTTTATGAGATTAGATCTATTTATCTTTTAAATTATTATTTTAATCTTAAATTAATATTATTTTTAAATTAATCTATTATATATTATGTTCGATATGTGAATCTATCCCTCCGTTCACTTCTATTGTCTACGAGCGATATAACGCGGGAAGAACCATTGACGGAAGTGTACTGCCTGATTTGTCACAGGACCGTCGGTATGATTGTTGTCGGCGTCGGTACCGTAGAGGGTGGCGGCCATCACTTGAGAGGCCTCCAATAATAATTAGCTTGGACATCTTCCAATACTTAATTGTGATACAGAATTAAATGGGCACACACCAAAATAACAGATCAGAACATATCTTTCTTAATTTACGTCTCGAAATATTAATGAAACTCAATATAATATCGATCTAATTATTTGGTTTGACAGAAATAATATCTCAATGAACATGACAATCTTCATTCAGCAGCATGAACTGTCCTTGAGACTGTGTCATGCCGGAGCTTCCAATCGAATGTAGTCGTACATGACTCCTTGAAAAGGGCTTTCAGAACGCGTCTGAGTTAAGAAGATGATGTTGTCGCCTTCAAGAAGCCAACTGCTATCCACATCGATGCTGAACAACCAGTACAACCCATGGATTCCGTGTCGGGCGATCGAGTTTTCTCTCCCAATTAGGCCTGTCGTGAAGTGAGCAGGCTGCAGCACTATTGGGTTGTTGAATCGAACCTTCAAATCCAACATGAACACACATGTCATCACCAAGAACAAGGAGGAAGAGGTGGAGGAAGCGAGGATTTAGACATACTTGTATCTCAGAGAATAAGGCAGATGCAAGTGCCAGTCGAAGCTTGTAAGTTCCACTCCAGCGTACATTAATGAGTGGAAACTTTATCTGCCATGTAGTTGCCTGATAGGAAGCCTGCCCAAGCTTCCTAGATAGGGTGGAGGCAGAAGAAGTCAAGCAAGTGAGCTCAACATGTCTTCGGAT